ATCATCAGCAATTAGCTTGGTTAAAAGAGGAACTATTTACAGACATCCAATCACCAGCTGTAAATCAACTATCATTTAGTTATCCTTCAGAATTCACGGTATTATTTTTGTCCATTAATTATCACACTACAGATATAAAAATGCGTATGGAATAAAAAATGCTCAAAGATCAGTTTATGAATCAGGTAATCTTGAGGTATCTTTATAGATAAGCGCATGACAGCACCTTTCAAGAATTCACATTTATTATAGTGGTCTTTACTAGGAGGTGTGATTGAAAACTATTTCTAAAGTGTTTATAACCTACATGCAGAAACACTCCACAAAGTCCCTGCTGAGTATATTTATAGTTTTATGCAAATCCTGCAATCTTGCATAAAACTTCCCACGTTCTTAATGTGAAGAACTTTTTAACTCATGCATGCATGTCATCTTACAAGACAAACCTCAAGAATACTTTTACAGGATTTCATTTGATTAATGAGTTTCAGACATCATCATATTCATTAACTTCCAGTATTATGCGGACTTTATCTCAATTCTAGATCAGTTTAGCTACCTAGTATCAATGACTTCAAAAGTAAGTCTCTTTGTCCCTTAAGTACCAAATTGAATGCTTAAAGAATATGATTTTCTGTACCACTTAACAGTTCAGAAGCTATAGAGCTCTAACTCCTTTCTAGTTAATATTCCACATTTTATACATTCTTGATACTTTAATACTGAGATGATGTGACTGTCAACACAGAAGAAAAAGAGGAGTAGGTTTCTATAGCAAACTTCATCATGACTACAGATCTATTCCTCACAAGTGAAAATGAGATTTCTCTTAGGACTGCTCTTCAAAAAAACCCAAAACCACCCAACAAAAAATCCAATAAAACACAAAAACCCAAAACCATACTGCCAAAACCAAACCTGGAGATTGTTTTTATTAATTTTCACTGCCAAAATTTTCTAATAAACACAAGCAAACTGATCCACAGCTTGCTAGGTTGATTTTGCTGATGTTCAAGATCTGCTCAGGAACATTTCTTAGTCTGTTGATGTTGTTCACAGAGCAGCAGTAACAGACAAATATACCTACATTCAGGCTCTCTAACAGACAATGCACTATAAATTCTGTAATAGGTCCATCTGTTTCAGCAGCCATCTAATTCTGCATTATTAAAAACAGCAGATTTTCTTCATTCTCATCCTACTGCTTTGGAAAGCAGCAAGCTATAGAAAAGGTGATAGCCAGATGAGAAATGAAGCTCCTAGGTCATCAAAAGCTGAGAGAGAAAAGACAACAGCTGAGTCATTCTTCCTCTAGAGCAACAAAGTCAGAAAATGGAAAGAGAAAAGATGAGGCAGCACAATGCAATACCTAGAAAATGAGAACATTTCCACTGTAATGAACCATGTCCCCCAGCATGGGTACAACACCCTACATGTAATTTCAATGTTCCTTCTTCTCATAAGCCTTTTGAGACCAACATCAGGAAACCATCGTCTTCCCACTCTTCGATGCTGGCTTCCAGCTTTTTGGGTATTAAAACCCGTACTGGCTTTGGATTATCACAAGAGGTAACAAAACAGAAGTGACTTTTTTAACTTCTTTACTCCTCAGATTTCTATTACATTACAAAAAAAAAAAAAAAAAAAAAAAAAAAAAAAAAAAAGGAGAAATGGTACTGATGTAACAGCACATAAAATACTGTGGATAGGTAGACTGATGCAACACCTTTATTTCAGATTACAATGTAGGTCGGACATAGTTTCCAGCATTTCAATCAGTTTTTGAAACTTAAAAACCCCATTTCTATTTATTAGCTTTGCCTAATTGGTACACCTTTCCTTACCAGACTTTACTAGGTGTACTGCAAATAGTACCTGTTGCAATTTAAGAATGACCTAAAATCAATCTAAATTCCTTCTGCATCAGGTGTTACTTCAGGCCTTTATCAGCAAGCTAAGAATACTAGTTCTCATTTAAGATAACTTCAGTAGCCCATCTCCAAAGAGGAATACTTTTCATATTTAAAATTGTTTTAAATAATTGCTCTCTGAATTAAGTTGAACTCCCACAGAAAAACAGGAAGTTATACTGATTTTCTTCACATTAGAACAGAAATTGCTTCCCAAAAGGCATAAATTCTCACAACTCGCCCTGCACCAAAGGCTCAATTCTGTGAAAAGCATATGTATGCAAGGAACGGGCAAGAATTTAAGCTTTCCTTCTTGGAAACTTCTACTGACATTTTAAAATGTTAATAAAAAAAGTCAGAATACGTTCATATGGTAATTTTGAAAACATGCTATAAAATAGCAAAGGTTCTGACTGTGAGGAAAACAAAATGAGGTTCTGCTTGTTGATATTATTTTCATTATTGACAGATGCTGCTACACCTGTCCATCCCTGACACTATCGCAGTTTGTGAAGATGCCACAATCTTTCCAGTAAGTTTCACCACAGTTAAGGACCAAATCTTAACTTACAGAAAAGCTAAGCTCCATGACAGTGTTCAAGAAGCTTGTGTAATTTTAATTCAGTAATTCCATATGAAAACACAGAACTGTTTCTATTCTATAAATCCAGACTGATTTATCACTGATTTATCAAGCACCCATCATGTGTTCAAAATAAACGTCCACTTCTGTAACAACTGTGGCAGAGACAGGAATAACAGTCATTACAATAGGCACAATCATGATCAAACGACTTTACAACTGGACAGCCACAGCAAACAAGTCCAAACATACTTCCTTTGGGACTATACAGACCCAAGCTTGAAGTCCATGTGATCTGGGCACTATTTATTCCTCCTACCTGAATCAGTCATTATTTTGCAGAAAATGTGTTATGAAGTATCTAAATTACTGTTGCTTGAAATTACTTAGTGAAGATCACAAAGGAAATCTATGTCAGGTTGAATACAGTAATTTTTCTTTTTTTTTTTTTTTAATTTGTGTAAGTCAAACTACACAAAAAGTATGTTCTCTTACGGTTTCCTACTGAATATTCAAAAGGAATGATTTATTAATGTGTAAGGCCAAAGTATCCCATGCACTCAATCCTCTCCTGCTGACTTTTCACCATATAACTCTAGATTAGTTTGAGATCACTAATTAAAAAACACTATTTGCAAGCACTGTAGTAGACAAAGGTTAGCTTTTTCATGTAAACTTTCTGGAACATGCTGAAATTACCCTGATGATCCAATTTCTCTACATTATTTTCTTTTGCAATGGGACAAACAAGCATTGACAGCTAAACCCTTAAGCATATTCGAGCCATTTTAAATCACTACTTTCCTGTAATTGCACATTTTAACTGACTGGATGCATACCCCAAACTTAGTATCTGTTTTTTATTTAAGCCAACCAGCTGGGAAAGCACAAAGACCTAAATGAAAGCAAGGAATATTAATTAAAACAAACCTCATTGTTTTGGATATTTTTTTACATAGGCAGAATCTCCTTTCATGTTGCCTGTTCCAGACAGGCAATTGTGTATGATCCTTCTACATTCACCTTCTGTGTACACTAAGGCACACCCCACAGAACTGCCACCATTAATCTCACTAAACATACAATTAGCTCACAGTCTAGATGCAGGCTCTATTCTCTTCTAGAAATAGATTGGTTGACTGCATACTTTTTTCCTCAAAAGCACGTGTTGAAAGCAGTCTAAACAAAAAAAAAAAAAAAAAAAAAAAAAAAAAAAAAAAAAAGCACTGCAAGACAATACCACCAATTCTTAGTTATTTTAGAAGAAAAAAATCTAGTGAGTAAAGTCTACAGTCACTCTCAGTGTTCTTGGGAACCACAGAACTTTTGCACATCTTCTGACATTATCATACCCAAATTATTAGCCTAAGAAGTAACCATTAAGTCTAATTCTTGCTTTGGCCTTGAGTAGTGTGCCTCACCAATCCACAAAGAATACCTATTCCCCTGCATCTCTAATGGAATGCACATTCTTCAAGTGAAAGAAAATTTGAGTGCATGCTCTGTTAATACAATTTTTAAAACCTAATAGGATACCTGTTTCATACAGAAATGGCTTTCTATTTTTATGTCATCGTATCAGTTACTACTACCCAAAGGGACACAAGAATGTAACAGCTGGAACACCCCGGGAATTATTTTTGTTAACTAGATGGCAATTGCTTCCACATTTCTGAAAACTAAGCAGGTCCTTCACTGTGCATTTCGCAGTGCTGTACCAGGCTTCATGTATCACAGGTCCCCTCAGTGTTATGGTATGACATCTTAATAAAATATATGATCGTACTTAAAGACATAGTGTTTAGTGGCAGAAACCAGAATTTTCTCACTCATGCAACTCTTGCACAGACACAAGAGTTTAAAAGCTAGCAGGTTATGAACACTTCTACAGAAACTCCCCAAAAAAAGACAAAAATAACTAAAGATTTTGAAGAATAATTTTATTCCAATGTTTCCATGTTAATTTCAGCGTTTCCAAAGGATGAAGCGTTAAGCAGTAGAAACAGTTGAGAACAGTAAATCAACTCCTTCCACTCAAATTTCTGCGTACGGTGCACTACAGCCAGTGACAAGATCTCTTGACCCTCTCTTACCTTTGCTTAAGGTTATGTGCAGGTTACAGCCCGAGTGCAATTTCTGCAGTTAACGCTAACTAGGAACTTCAAACCAAGCAAGATTTAATCGCGTGGTTTATTCATCATCTGCGATCTCCGGATCGCCCCCGAACAAACGTGGCAGACTACTCCTCGAGTCCTTCACAGACATACCCCGAAGCTCGCCCCCCCGCCGGGACTCGGGTGTCTCTTTGCCGCACCCGGTGCGAGCGGGGAAGGGGCAGCACCCTCTGCCTACACCCGGGGCCCGGGCGCTGCTCCGCGTAGAGAGGCTGGGAGCGGCAGCCGGGAGCTCGGAGGCGGAGGCGCGCTGCCTGCAGCTGGGCCCGGGGC